AACTCCTCTAGTCTTAGTGATCAACAACTCAGCCTTTTGGCCCACACAGCCATTCGGCCTACACATCCAATATCAACACACAGTACAACACAATTGTACAACTCAACATATCAACTTACAACAATATCAGCTTACAGCGCGGCTAAACAGCTTACGGCTCAACAATATTGGCATCCAGCACGGCTAAACATCTTACAACACAGCAATACTAGCATACAACAACTAGCAGCTTATAGCTCAGCTAAACATCTAAATACAGCTCACAGCACAGTCTAAACATCCTTAATCAGCAATAACATCTACAACACGACATATTCATCAATTTCAGCTCAACATCATAATCCCACATTATCAACTAGTCAGTACAACAATATTTAACAACTACAGCTCAGCTCAACATACACAACATGATCGACAGCATGATCAACAACGTTAAACTACACTACATACAACATATAGTACGGCTTATCCATCTTGTTTACAACTCATCCAAACAACACCAATCAACCCAAGCACCTAAAACAACCTTCACAGAAAACAGCACATCCGGAGTTATACTACTCCTACCATGTTCATCCTTATCTCACATGAAAGATAAGAAGGTTTCCTACAACTCTCAAGAAGACACTAAGTCCTAATTCCTTCATCTATCTTGTTAAAAATGATAAATACCGCAGCAGCTATAAACAAAGGTGACAGCTCAACCTCTCTTCACTAAAACAACCATATCTAGAGTTCTAAAACTCCTTTTTGAGTGATTCCAGCGCCATTGGAAAGCTAACATCCAAGGCTACAACTTTCATGAAGACTACAATGTCCAATTCTGAAAGTACCAAGGCGCTCAGCGCCTACAAAGCACTCAGCGCTTTAGCTCCAGGGATTCTCCTCTAGCTCTCTTCCCCAAAAGCGCTCAGCGCCCTAAAATGGCTCAGCCGTTTTGTCCCAGGTGGCTCTCTGCCCCCAAAGCGCTCAGCGCCTTAGAACGGCTCAGCCGTTTGTGACAGCGAACACAAACCCTCCTCCATTTTTGAACAACAACCTGCAACACCCCAACAGCCCAAACACATGCAAACCCTCCAAATAACTATACTTGCTTCAATCAACACAAAAACCCCTTCTTTTTCAACATGCAACCACGAATCATCAAAAATCCCAAATATTTTATCAAAACCCCGAAACCCCGAAAACCCCATGTCCTTCAATCTCAGCTCAAAATCATCAAACATCAAACAATCAAAGAGTTCCTAGAATTCGTTTTCAGCCAAACAAGTCAAAGGACTAGCTTCCCTTACCTTGGTGAAGAAATTCGAGCTTCGGAAGGAAGAGCAACGAGAGGAAGTGGAAGAAAGGCTTGTATATCGAAGGAGAAGAAGGAACTTCTACTACTCAGCTAGCCAAACCTCAAATCTGCCCCACACCACCACCTTCAATGGCCAAACGAAAATCCAAGGGAAGAGAATGAGAGTTGAGAGTGAAAAAGAGTTTGAGTGAATAAAAGAGGGAAGGGAGAAAAAAAATGAGTTACGGGTCTCACACCCTAAGAGTTCATCGTATGACAATCTTGACCTTGATTCTCAGCTCATGAGCTTTGAATCTCCAGTCGAGCACTACCACTTAGCTATAAGGAAGGATTTGGACACTTCTACGAAGTTAGAAGAAGAAAACGTCTCTTTTGCCTCTAAAGCCTATCTATCTAAAACTTCTCTCTAGATTTCTTAGGATATGAAACTTATGAAATTTAAGTTTTAAAAAAAACCTTAAATACCTTCCCCTAACTTATTCAACTTTGAACTCAACTTAAAACCTCCCAAAATAACTTAACTCTCAAGAATCTCTTAACCCTTAAAGTTCTAAAACAACAACTAATACAACATAACACCATTTTAAGACATCACATAGCATATATTCAAATAATAAATTAGTAAATCATGTAGTATTATAATTGGCATTAGAAAAAGGAGAAAATGGCCTTGAAGGCTGGTCAACAGTTGCAAGGAGTGGTATAAAATTATCCAAATATTTTTATGAATGTTAAATCACAATAAATTTAAAAATTGTACCCTCCAGATCCTCAATAGATCGAGCATGTCGAGCAGTTGTTCCACAAAATCAACACTCGCTTGGAGGATAAGGTACCCTTTGGATCCCCATTATGTCGAGTAAGCATGGGTCATGTGGGATGAATGTTTCATGGATCTTCGATTGAACGAGTTACCTGAAGAGACTGGTCCCCGAGTCACCATCCGACCGAGTACCCAAGCCCCATTTAATTATTGACGTATTAATCAATGATGGAATTTTCATGATTCTTGCTTAGGTCCATTATGAGGAGAGATTTATACGTATATTAAGGGATTAGGGTTAGAGAAAAAGATTTGTATCTTAGATATGAAGCTCGTATAAACAGGGAAAAAGAGATATTAACATACAAGTTTTGCTCAATCGTGAATGTTCTAGGTTAGGACGGTGGTTAGGTTCTCTTAGACGTCACATCATCAAGGGTTTTCCTGCTGCTATCCCTTATTGGAACATAAAAGAAAAAAAAACATTTTACCATGTGTCACCTTCAAAGACAACTTTTCGCATTGATGCGTAGTGAAAAACCCTATGTAGCCTAGAAAAATATTCATTAAGATTAAAACAATATAAAAAATCATATCGTTTTAAGGAAAAATCACTATTCATAAGTTGTCTTATAATGACTAGGATTGTATTTAATTATATAACCTTAGGACTAAGATTTAAAATTATGTAAATTAATTGATATAGGAAAAAATTCAAAAGAACTAGAAGCTGTCAAATAAAAGGTTGATGAGGAAAAAGAAAAAAAATGGAGAAAGAAGAAGAAAACAAGTAAAAGTAAAAAAAAAAATGGGAATGTGTTAATAGAAAGACCGAATAATATCGGTGTAACTTTTACTAAGTATTACACTGTTCAATAACTTTATGTTAATTGTAAATTTTGTAAATCCAACCGTTAGATTGAAAGTTCATATCACTAATTATATGTGTATATCAAATTTTGTTAAAATTGAATAACAACTTGAAGGTAATCAAAATGTTCATATTTTAGTATATTTTAATATGTATATATTACGTTAATTTTGTTTTATAAGAATGAAGTATCAAATCATCTTGAATTAATATAAAATTTTGTATATATGATCTAAGAGTAAAGAACTTTCAATCTAACGGTTAAACTCACATTTAATATAAAGTTATTGAACGATGTAATACTTAATAAAAGTTACACTGATGATATTATAATCCTATATATATATATATATATATATATATATATATAAATAAGTTGCTTATATATAGATTAAACAACTAATCGCCGAACATAAGGACTAAAAGTACTGATTTTGTGAAATTAAGGACCAAAATAAATAAATAGTGCAATTATAATAAGGATCAAAATATACAAATATTACGGTTATGAGAAATAAAACGTAAAATGTAAAATATATCAATGTCATGTCAGCAATATACGAGTATCACATCATCCACTATCAAGAGAGGCTAAAAGAGATTTAAAAATGTTTGTATAAGGAGTAAAACAGATAATTTGTAAATATAAGAATTAAAAGGTAAATTTGTACGATTATAAAAAAAAGAAAAAAGTAATTAAAATTAAATGTTTTGATGATAGGTAGCGTTCGAACAACCTTCTACAAATGAATAGAATGATGCGGGTTGAATGAAAGATTAGTTTTGACAAATAACGTTATAAATAATCTAATAAATAAATACTGAAGTACACGGAACTCGCGCATCTGTAATACGCTAACATCTGCGGCCTTTATTAAACAGAACAAAAATACTAACGAGTACACGTAAATCGAGTTTTTTTTTTTTGTGAATAATTTATTTAATATATAAAATTAATTAAGATTTAACCTCTGAATAATCTGATTGGAAAAAGAAATTAGTATTATTTTACTCGAGGCAATGTGGGTAGAAAGAATTATGCATGTTACGTGAGGAAGATGACACCTGAGGCAACATTAATAAAGAAAAGAAAAATGGGAGTTGGAGAAAAGAAGAAGTGGGAGTGAAACGTTTGACTAAAAAATAAGGATGCAAAAGTAGTGTGTAGACGCAACATGAATCCTGAGAATCATAAATTTACAGAGTCCCCACAAGTGACATCAACATCGCAGATAGAAGGCATAAGGAGTAAAAAAGATCACATGCTCGAGGCGTTTGGGCATATGAACGCTTCATGGGGTTGCATAGTTGTTGTGCCCTAAATCAGCAAAGTATCAGAACCATGGAGCCCTCAGAATTAATAGTGGACGTCTACTACACAGGCCCACCACAACCCTCATAATTAGCCTTCGCCCAAGAAACTCCCCCACTAACCAAATTTACAATTTTCTACCACCAATCACTCTACTAGTTAACTAAGTACCCTTTTTTTTTATTTTTTTTTATCATATAGTATGTATATTTTAATCCAGCTATCATAATTCATACGGTTGAGAACATATTTCTTTTTTAGAATTTAAATTTGGACCCTTTTTGCTTGCCCACTCTCGCTGCTGGGGCGTGGGTTACAACTTATAAGAATAGTCTCTCATTTCATTTTATATACTGTTCACCGAAAACAATCTTATCAAGTAAGCACGCACCATTTTAAATTGATTTATGAATTAAATAAACTACTCTTTTTATTTTATAATTTTTTCAGTCTTGTTTAAATAATATCAAAATTATGTGAACGGTAAATTTTTTTATATAAATATTTATACTTAAACGAAAAAAGATATCTGTATTTATGTATTGGATTTATAAGAGTTTTAAGTACACATGGTATATTTAATTATTATATTTTGTTTCTCTGATTCGAGGGATAAAAGAGAGCCGGGGGAAAGACATGCCATGAAATGTGAAACATAATGCCACATGCCTTGTCTTGAGCATCCATTCTTTGTACTTCTTTTTCCTGACTCATAAAAGTTGAAAGCAACCAACAGCCTGTCCTTATTATCCATCCTCCTCTCTTTCTCTCTCTACCTACTACACTAACTGGGGAGGGAAGAATAGTCCCTATTTTTGGTAAAATAAATTATTAAAATATTTGGTTGAACTTGCAAGAAGGAGCATATCATCCAGACCTTTTTTGCCTTTCACTAGTCTTCCCTTCTCTCTCTCTCTCTCCCCTCCTTCTTGTGGTGTATCAACTTTCAATACATTATCCACTCTACTGTGTGCACAAATCCATGACTTCATATTCTTTAAGTGCCTAACAGGTATGGTTTTTGGGGATTCCCTCTCACCTAACTCATAATACTCTCTCTCTCATTTAATTAAAAAATAATAAAAAAAGATTTTATTTTTCTTCTTAATTTTTACTATTCACTCCATTGGGTAATCATGGAATCCATGTCAGGCAGCATCGAGTGGTCGGTGAAGGAAGAAGTGAGCATCACACTGCTGCTATTGTCTGCAAGTGCAAGTACTCTCTTCCTTCTTTCAATGAATGTTTATTTTTATTTTATTTATTTTGTTTTCTATTTTTATGCTTGGGGTTGCTCCATTATGCTTTGTTTGGTAACTCCTTCTGAATTTTAGGTTCCATTTTCCTTGGAACTCTTTCCACTTGACTGTAGGTAGTCATGTGTTTTATTTAATTATTATTCATATTTAATCCTATGATGCAGCTTCTTTCCTAGTACGCACAAAACCTTGTCCAATGTGTTTGTCTTATAATTGCCTGTTTGTGGTTGTCTAGTTTTACATGATTAATTTCCTCCCCTATCATCCATCACTTTCTATTCTTGTTGAATTGGACTTTTACCCATGTTTTTTTCACTTGGCTTGTTTAATTTAAGTTTGGTTCCCCTTAGTGTCTCACTATTTATGCAACACAAACTCACTGCTTAATTTTTTGTTGCTCCTCATGCAATTGTGAATCGCATGGTATAACACAAATAGAAGTTAACCAAACAAAGGGGGACCTTGAAGAAGTTGAGGAGGGAAAAGTGGAATTTTTATTTTTCTTTGTTGTTTCTTATGGACTGGAATTTGAAAGCACCTTCTTGGGATTTGGTGGATGTGGATAATAAGGCAACCTTAGCCAACATGGAAAAAATGGAGGATCAGCAAAACAGGTTTGGAGTTTATAGAATGAAGGGGGAGTTTTCAGTTGACTTGAAGCTTGGGCAAGTGGGGAATTCTGGCACTGACTCAGTACTAGGGAAGTCCAAAGATGTTGTTGTTGCAACTGGTGGTGGAGTCTCCAAAGTTGCATCCTCACCTTCATCAGGGTCTTCTAAGAGAGCTAGAGCCATTAACAACACATCACTCACTGTTTCATGCCTTGTGGATGGGTGCAATTCAGATCTTAGCAATTGTAGAGACTATCATAGGCGCCATAAGGTGTGTGAACTCCACTCCAAGACCCCAGAAGTCACAATTGGTGGCCTAAAGCAAAGGTTCTGCCAACAATGTAGCAGGTGTGCATCATATCATATATATTATTATGAGTCTGTTGGAATACAAACTAGAAGGACTGTTGTAAAAGTTATTTATTTTCAAAAGAGAAACTCTTTTAATATCTAAACAGACTTGCAAGTTCTTTCGTTTGGAATTTGGTTCTAGCTTGTGAGTTGTAGTTTGCCCTCTTAATTATTGCTTTTTTCTTTTTTTGTGTTTGTGCTCCCCTTTTCTTTTCCTTGTACCTGATGATAGACATTTAATTTATGTCATTTGCATTGCATCCGTGTCCATTATTCATGTTAGCTTCACAAGGACTCATACGCCACTAAATTACTTTATTTTGCTTTCTGCTACCATCAGCATCTTGACTTAGCGTTCTTTAGAAGGATAAAGTTTTTGATACTCTAGTATTTACTTCTTTATACTGTTAATTAATTTTCTAAATTTAGAAAAATTTTCTTCATTCTTAATTTGACAAAAAAATTTGAAAACAGGAAAAAAGTTATCCATATAAAATCAAGTATCCGAAAAAATTTTGCTGTAAGCAAAATTCTTAAACCAAAAAGAATTTGTTTCCACTTAAAAAAATTCCCCGATCACATCAATCTCATGCCCAAAAACTCTAGTTTATGATTAATTACTTCAGTTTACAAATAATATTCTAGTTAAGTCTGTGTGGATAAACTTCTTCATAAGTACTTCTAAGAAAGAAAAGTAGGAAGAAAAATAAAATAAATTTATTTATAATCTAAAATTAGATTATGCATGAGCTAATGTGTAGAAGCTTCCTCTTATAATTTCTCCAAAATCTTATTTTTAACTTACACATAGTTAATTTTAACTTAAGCTTATTTCAATTTTCTTTCTTATTTCTTTTTTCAAGAAATGTTTTTAGAAAAATTTATCCAAACAGGTTGTCCATAGATCTAAACCTCTACTGCATGAACATAATGACATAAGTTTACATATAATTTGAGAGAATGACTTGCCTGTATTGTTCTGTTAATATACCCTGTGTATGTTGGTTGTACTTCTAGTAAAATCAGTGGTAAATAATTTTCACCTCTTAGTTTCTTGTGCATTTGATTATATTTGCTTGATTCCATGTCATATTGACATGCTTGAATTTGCTCATATCCTGAAGCTTTCCTTTTGGTAGGTTCCATTCGCTAGAGCAATTTGATGAAAGAAAAAGAAGCTGCAGGAAACGTTTAGATGGACACAACAGAAGGAGAAGAAAGCCTCAGCCAGAACCTCTTACGCGACCTGGTAGTTTTTTGTCCAATTACCAAGGTTAGTTTTCTGGTTCTACCACATTATCTAAATGGACCCTTATGCATATATGCTCAGATTTCATGCAGGCATTAGCCATAGGTACAATAGTCTCAAAAGAGTAAGAAATTTGGTGTCAAAACAATGCATTTACTTACATGAGTGCGCTTCCCACATACCTCATGTGGCTGATTTGGTCCATTTATGTCTACGCTCATGGCAATCTAGTGTCCACTAAAATACTATGTCACTTCATAGACCAATAAATGAGAAAAGAAAAGAAACCATTTTGAGTAAACATGTGCTTGTGAGTAGAGCAAGCACCAATCATTTTAATCTTTGACTTAACAAATTTCTTTTTTTTGAAAAAATATATTCATTTTAGTCCGTTTCTCTCTGTATCCATTTTTACTGTCATTTTCTATGAAAAGAGACTAACTTTTTACAAAATTAAAGATTAGAGTGAAGATTTTATATAATAAAATATTAAAGTAATTAATACCTACAGTTTCAAAAATTAAAATGAGATTTTGTTTTGAAGATTCTCCTTTTGAGAGTGGAATCTAGATGGTCATCCATAAGAAATTATCCATATTATTGCTGATATTAATATCAGTATTTTGATGTCTCCTCGAAAGTGTAGAGAATAAAGTACACTTAAAATCATTGGTTAAAAAAAATTATTGGTTCAGAACCCTGAAAAAATCAAATCTAGAAATAATAATATTTAAACTATATTTTTTTCAATCATTGGTATTTTAATTAATAATTATTATTTTTACTTTATTCTTAAAGTACATTCTTATTTTTGATGTGTCAATTTTTTTAATGGAACCCTGCTTAAAATTTCTCAGTTTCTCATTTCTATACATCATTCCAAATTCACCTTGAAAAGAAAGTCTCTCTGGATAAAGTTGTATTATTCATACATCAAAAATTTTTGTCTTTATGTTTTTTTTTTTACATCTCATACTTCTTTTTTCTTTCTTCTATTTCTCTCATATATAGTTATAAAGTTTGTTATAATCTGATGTACAAATATTCCTCCAACCAGTAGGATTAAAGGCACTCTATACCTTTAAGAGAATAATTTTTTTATATTAATTAATGAATAATTTCATTTTGCAGTCATGTGCAGTTATGTGCAGTTATTTACTTATTTTTTTAGTAGCTAATTAGAGAATAAAATAAGAAAATAAATAGTGAACACCAAAAGGTAGTATCTCTTTTATTATTAGTATAGATGACTACTATTGTGAGATGACTGTTGTACACTTTATTGTACAAATAACATTATTCTTCTGATGAATGATGTCAACATCGATACATATAATGATATATTGTCAACGAGCACTTGTATTAACACTTATATTCATCAGGGCAACGACAGACACAGTACTACAGAAGGAATTAGTCTCAAGCTCAGTAATTTTGTTAACTTAATACTTGCATGAGATATAGTGCATATATATAACAGTTGAGAAATTCAATGTTTCAGGGACCCAGTTGCTACCCTTCTCAAGTCCACATGTGTATCCTTCCACTGCCATGGTGAGCCCCTCTTGGAGTGGTGGGATAGTCACTTCCTCTGCAGAAGCTAGGTTCTACAACCAACACCACCAAGTGCATCATTTGGTCGAAAAACAAGACCTTTTCCTGGGATCTTCCCACAAGGAAGGGAAGCAAGTAGCATTCTTACACAGCAACCACCAAACCCCACCACCTTTTCCACCTGCTTCGCTTCTCAGAACCGCCACCACCGCCACCACCACAACCCCTTTAACATCCAATAATAGTAATTCGGTGCATGACTCTCCTTGTGCTCTCTCTCTTCTGTCATCATCACAGACGCACACTCATGGGAACGCCTTGAATCAAATGGTGCAGCCTCCTTCCATGTCCCTCATGCAGCCCTTGGGCCTGAGCCTGCAGGATAATAACAGCCTTGAGTCCGTGAACCATTGTTCGTCCATGTATAGCTTGGGCTCTGATGGGTCCCAGTGCAATGAAGCTCCTCAACTCTCTCCCTTTCAATGGGAATAGATTCATATGTATACTTTCTTTGTTCCTTATTATTACTAATGGATTCTTTCCCCCACAGACTAGTGGAATTCTCATTTACTCTCCCTTTAATCGAGGCAATGCCTATGGACAATTCATCATACTGTTTCTGTTTGTATCTTCGGGGAAAGAATAACTCGACATTTTTACTTATGATTCGAAATGGGAATCGTAAAAGGAAAATGTTGATGCACGTAGCATTTGAAAATGTTTCATAATAATTGATGTTTTTACTTTTCAATCTTATAATAATACTTCCTCGTGGAAGACATGTCTTATGTCCATGCAAGAAAAATGTAATATTATTTTTTCTAATTTGTCACTTCACAAATTATTCAAATATTGTAATTAAAAATAATGTATTTATTGAAAAAGTGAAATTATTTTAGTTAAATTGAATAAAGAAATGATATATTTATTATTATTTTTAATGTGTATAAAAATTTTAAATTGAATCATTGGGAAAGAGAAAAAGTATCTTTTAACAAAGAGTATTACATGGTAACTAGCAAAATTTAGTTAGAACATTTTAGTTTTTTTTTTTGTAATATAAGGGCAAAAAAAAAGGAAAAAAGAAACTAGAAATTACATCCTTAAGAATAAAGTTCCTACTCTATTAGCCGTAAGAAGAGAACTTATAGTTGCAAGCACGGATTCTACTATTACTAATTCATTTCCGTAATGAGGTCCCAATTTTGAGAAGAAATCAGCACATTGATTCCCTTCACGTCGCCAAGGCCTGAAAGAAATCTTTAATCTTAGCTACCAACACCGAATATTTATGATAAGGGTCAATCACACTCAAGATCAAGTTAACCACAGAGAGCGAGTCAGATCAGAAACACAGAGAACATCCTTAAAATTATACTTCCACCCTAACTCCATCCCATGATAAATAGCTAATAGTTCCGCTTTCAGATTATCCGTCTCTCCCGCATCACCATAAAAACCCACGATCCAACAACCCAAATGGTCCCGACAAAGATCACCATAACCAGCTGGACCAGGGCAGCCTTGAGCACTTCCATCTACATGAACTGTAATCTGATCCATCTCCCGCGTGCAGCTCTGGAGGCTAGGAACAAACACACGCTCATTTAGAAGGTGGTGAGCCCTAATACGAGAGACAACAACTTGAGGTGGAAACTGTCCATTTTGAAAAGCCACAACATTTCTCGCCTTCCAAATCTCCCACATTGCGACCAGAACCAGCGTCCCCCACAGTTGATGGGCTATTTTCAGCCACGATCGCCACTCCAACGAGTGGGAATAATAAGGTCAATTTTGAGCTTACTCCAAACCATAGTAGCTATTGTGCACTAAAAAAATCGATGGTAAGAATCTTCTTCCACTCAGGTACAAACCTGACAAAGACCTTCTTGGCCAATATGATGAGACCGCAAGAAATGTTGTGTGGGGAGGCTATCAAGAGAGAATTGCCAAATAAAAAACCTGGCGCTTTCTGAAGCTTGAATGTGCCAAATCCAGCTCCAACCACTCTCTGGCGTACCGCTAGCATGAGCCAATTGCCAAGCATAACCATTAGTCGAGTATTTCCCTGTCAAGCTATGATCCCAAACCATCACATCAGGAAGTGAAGGGTGTAGACCCATGCCACACTCCTGGATTTTTTGACGTAACTCCTCCGAGATGGGGGTATAAAGATGTTGTAATCGCCAGGTATTCTCATGCACCACCTCCTTAACTAGAAGATCCACGTCATGCAAATGAACCATAAGGAACCTGCAAGCATAGTGGTGAACTATCTAGCCAACTGTCAAACCAAAAACTAACATTTCCGCTCCTCAACTTGAGCTTGAAACCCTCCTTGAGCACCTCAAATGCTTTAGATAAGGACTGCCAAAAGAAGGAGCCTGTAGCCCTGAGTTTCATGTGGAGACCAGGATATTTAGCAGCCACAAACTGGACCCATAACTTCTCACCATGGTTGAAAAAATCCCAAATCAACTTCCCCAATAAGGCGGTATTTTGGAGCCTTGCTACTCGAACTCCAAGCCCACCATGACGACGCTTCTGAGTGATAATATTCCAATTCACCAGATGAAGTTTATGCACACCTTCACCACTCCAAATGAACTGTCTTGTTAACCTATCCAAGGCATCACAAAATTTTTGAGGAACCCACTGCATTTGCATGGAATAAGTGGGAAATGCAGCCACAACAACGTTGGCCAACGTTACACGACTAGGACGATTCAGGAGCTTGCCCTTCCAAGATGCCAACCTTTGTTGTACCTTGTTAAGGATAAAATCAAACTGGCCAGCAAGTACACGACCATGCACCATATGGAAACCCAGATAATGCCCTAACAAACCCGTAAATCGAATATTGGTGAGATCAAACAACTTCTGTTTACGATGAGGAGGGACTCCACACAATGCATAGGCCTTGGACTTCTCAGGATTAAATCGCAGCCCTGAAGCATTAGAGAAACGGTCGAGTAAAGCTATCATAGTCCGCACACTAGAAGGCTTGGCCTTGGTGAATAAGAGAACATCATCTGCAAAAAATAGGTGGGAAATAGGAGGTCCACCTCTGGCCAACCTGAAGGGAACCCAAGTACCTTCTTGGACAGCATGTGTGATCAAAGCACCCAGCTTCTCCATACAGAGAACGAACAAGTATGGGGAGAGTGGGTCACCCCTGTCGTAATCCACGCTTGGTAGCGAAAGCCATGGGTTTTTTGCCCATTCCACAAAATAAAGACAGAAGGAGAGGATAAACTATGCATTATTAAACTGATAGTGTTACCGGGAAAGCCATATTCACGAAGGATTTGAGCCACAAAGCTCCATGAAATCATATCATAAGCTTTTTCAATATCCAACTTAAGAACAACATCAGCCTTCTTCCTTTTCGACTTTTTCATGGAATGGATTATCTCCTGCAGAATAATTGCATTGTCAGTAGTATTTCTTCCTGGGATGAAACTGCATTGAAGAGGGCTAACTAGATCTTGGAGCCAAGGCCGTAGACGAGACACCAGCACCTTCGAGATTAGTTTCTGCATAACATTGCATAAGCTAATGGGGCGAAAATCCTTAAGCCTCTTGGGATCCTCACACTTCGGAATAAGAGTGACTAGAATATCTGCAAGTTTAGGATCAAAATAACCAGTAACAAATGCCTCCCTCACCACCTTACAAATATCATCTCCAATCTCGTGCCAAAACATTTTATAAAAGATAGCTTGGAAGCCATCTGGACCCGGCGCTTTATAGGAGTTCATACTCTTCAAGGCTGCATAGACTTCCTCCTTAGATGGCGCTGTCCCCAACATAGAAGCAGCCTCCACAGGCAAGCTACTCAAAGGTGGATCCAGAGGGGAATCATCCATAGTATTTGACCTCCCAAACAGGTCAGTGAAGAACTCTACAGCAGCAGATTGAAGTTGGGCTTCATCTACACTCCATTCACCCGAAGCAAGATAGAGGCCATGAATTTTATTTTTCTTTCGTCTAACCACTGTTTGAGCATGGAAAAATCGGGTATTCTTGCTTCCCAAGCGGACCCAATTCTCTCGAGATTTTTGAAACCACATAGTTTCCTCCTGAAACAAAACAAGCTCATACTCACGTAAGAGCGCATGATACAAATGCAGCAACCGCAATGAATCCACCCTTTCTAAGGATCTCTCAATGCCACGAAGGCGCCTATCAAGAATAGTTTTGCGATAAAGAATATTTCCAAAACTTTCTTTATTAAAGGCTAGAGAATCTTTTCGCACATGATCCAAAGCGCTAGCCACATTACCATGACCCTTCGCCCAAGCAGAATGAACTACCTCACCATACCCCTTGTCTTGTGTGTGCACCAAGCGGCTTCAAAGCGGAATGGTCGCACACCCTTAAGATGAGTAAAACCCCCACACCTGAGCAAAAGAGGGTTATGATCTGAATGACGTCGAGGGAGGATCTCCATGACCCGCTTCTGGAAATCGCAAACGCCATTGAATATCGCCCAGAATTCTATCCAGTTGCTTATGAAGCGGTCCATTCTTACCTGCCATACGATGCCACGTAAAACGGCCTCCAACCTAATTAAGAGTTAAAAGATTGCAGTCCTCCACCAATTGCCCAAATTTCGTTGCCCGACTATGTTGAAAGACCCCTCCCCGCTGATCAGAGGGAAGAAGTATCTCGTTAAAATCACCCATGAGCGTCCACGCTTGTTTGAAGCGATGTCGGAGTGAACGTAGATAGTCCCAAAGCCGCAACCGCTCGTTAGGAATAGGACTAGCATAGACGCCAGAACATATCCACCTAAGGGACCTCATATAGAAACTTCTAATGAAACAATTTGAGGGGCAGAATCCAAAATCTTGAAGTTATAAACTGAAGTAGCCAATTGTAGAGCCCAAATTCCCCCTGCATGCCCCGAGCCTCCTGAATAGCCACCACCTTAAAACCCAAGTTATCCCAGAAATGCTTCACCCTCAAGAATTGAGTGTGCACCTCGAAAAGAAACACAAGATCCGGGAGAGCCTTATGAATGGTATCCCGCAAATGAGAGAGATTCCGCTTTCCTGCGGCACCCCGAACATTCCAAGCTAGAATTTTACAATCAGAACCTATCATGATAGACAATATAGTATAAAGAAACAAGTATAGCTTGGGCGTAGCTTAAGAAAAAGTCCCAAACCCAACCCCATTATCTCAGGTGTTTCCTCCACCATATCGCCGTCTTCCTCCTCACCCGTGAGGTCCATGTCCATGTCACCCAGTTCATGCGGTACATGACAACCCTTAGCAGACTCGACCACATCCTTATCAGGAGGTTGAGGGTCCTCACAACATAATAGATGTTTATTATTTTCCCTCTGGGCTGGCAATGTGGTTGTAAAGCCTGAGGGCACGATAATCTTATTGATGTCATGTAGGGGAACTATAGGAGTAAGCGTAACAATGGTGGCAACAACCTGCGTATGTGAGGACCCCACGTTAAAATCATGCAAAATGGTACCCCCTTATCCAACAAGCTACCTCGCACATGTTGTTTCTCATGCGAGATTGTCTCGACCACAGTATCACGTGCTAACCCTTGTGCATGACGTGGACGCTTCAAATTTTTTTCAAAAGCACTTCTAACAGGACCCACCACTCTAGTGGCAACTGGCATCAAATCCCTGCTAGAAGGAGTCTTACCATTAGGTGCATTTGTAATCTCATGAATATTACCTGGATTTGCTGCTTCCAAATCATTGATATCATCAGTAAGCA